CCTGTTTTGGATTGTGCCTCCCTCTCTCTCTCTCTCTCTCTCTCTGCCTCTTCCCGGCTCACACTCTGTCTGTCTCTCTCTCTCAAAAAGAAATAAACATTTAAAAAAATTAGATTGTATCTAGTTGTATTGTTGATGTGTTTTGGGCCCTTCCTGGAAAAATATGGGCTATGTATAAACCATAAACAAAGTGCAGGTGGCTCCTGGTGCTTCTCCTTCCATCCCTCACTGCTCCACCTCCCCTCCTCTCTCGATTAGCAGGGACAGTGGGCAGGACCTCACCTATGAAAGAAGGCTGGAAGAGGGTCTCAGGGCAGCGGAAGCGCTCATTGCCAATGGTAATAACCTGCCCATCTGGCAGCTCATAGCTCTTCTCCAGAGAGGAAGAGGAGGCTGCTGTGGCCATCTCATTCTCAAAGTCCAGGGCGACATAGCACAACTTCTCCTTGATGTCTCGCACAATTTCTCGCTCAGCTAGTAAGAGGAGAAATGACAGAAAGTAGATACTATGTTCTGTTAGTTTGTCCTGTTTTGATCTCCATGAAAACCTCCTCCTCTACTTTGAATTCATTCTTAGGATAAATGTTAGTTAATATTTCATTCCTCTTCCTAAAGTGCAAGTTCAAAATCTCCCAGGCAAAACTTTGCATGGGCTTTTCTCCTTGCTATCTTTACTCTGCCCTGACAAAGCTACAGGCCTTCCTGAGGGCCTTACGGGACACATTTCTGGTCTAGATGTAGGAGGATTTGCTGTGATCTTACAGACTCTAGGAAGGGCGCTGCCTAACATCTCCTCTTGTCCAGTGTGGCCACGGAGGCATGACAACTTCCCCTTAGAAATTCAGACCTTATTTATTCCATGTGTCCTCAGACAAACCATAAATTCCCCTAAGTAATAAAATGCATCATCAGATTTTTGCTACCATTTAGCCCTGTAAAAACCATCTCTGATCCTGGTGTAGACAAAGGTAGCAGGTCCCTGGGGAAGGAGGGAATGATCTGAAAGGGCACTTAAGGAGGCTTTGTTGCCCTCCCCAGGCCATCTTGGTTGGGAAACCTCCCCCATAAATAAGGCTGCGCTGACTACCTGGTCTTGTCCAGAAGCCCAGGCCCAGCCTAGGGGCCTCCTCATCTACCCTAGGAGAGTTTGAGGGCAGGGGGCCCACAAACTTCTCATCAGAGAAGATCTGGTCCTAGATCAGACTTCATTCTGAGCTCAAGTGAGAATCAGAGAAGGGGCTGGATACCTGTGGTCACAAAGGAATAGCCTCTCTCTGTGAGGATCTTCATGAGGTAGTCGGTGAGGTCACGACCAGCCAGGTCAAGGCGCATGATGGCATGGGGCAGTGCATAGCCCTCATAGATGGGGACATTGTGGGTGACACCATCCCCTGAATCCAGCACGATGCCTATGGACAGAGGGGATAGGATCCATGAAAATTTCTTGTCTTTCATCTTTCTGGGACCAGTTGCCAAATGATCCTCAACTACCATATTTTTCTTTAGCAGCTAAGCAAATTCACCCACCATAAGGATCAACAATATTTTTGTGTACATCAATTTATTCTCCCAAATGAGAATGTAGCTTTCTGGAAGGCAAGTAAAACATCTTCCCTTCTTATATTCCTTGAAACACTTCCATAGTAAGGCATACTTGTCAATGTGCATCTCAATTGCACATTCTTTAAGGAGACTGGGTAATTTGCACATCCTTCTGGCATTAAACTAACACATATGCACCTGCATGGAGAATGTTAGGTCTGGAAGGGACTATAAAAACCATCCAATTAAAAAAAATAACATTCTCTACTGATGAAACTTAGTAAACCATGAAGGGAAATGAGCTTTTCAACATAATAAATTTCAATCCATATCACAATTGATGGAGAGACACTGTAACATTGTTATTACATTATTATTATTTAATACAGTCCTAGATGTTCTGTTCTAGCCAATGTAATATGACAGAAAATACAAATAAGAGGTATTATCAAAAGGAAACAGAATTGTCATTTGCAGATGATGAGGCTGTATACCTAGAACACCCAAGAGAATCAACTGAGACGTGGTTAGAGCTAATAAGATGCCTCAGTAAGGGCCTGATGCAAAATAAATATCTAGGGACCAGTAGCTTACACTTGTACAAGAATGCTGACCACAGCATATTTTATACTAGAAAATAAAAACTGGAGACAACCTAAAAGTCCAGCAGTAGAGAAATGGTAAAACAAATAAGTAAATTATAGAACCATCATACATCCCCCATCAGTGTCTTTGTCACCAGCAGTGAAACTATCTTTTCATTTTGCCTCTCCCCCACTAGAGCAGTAGCTCTGGAATGGCAGGGCTGTCTTGTTTGTCATTGTGTGCCCATGGCCTGGTGCAGTCTTTGGTACCTGGTAGGGAGTAATGGAAAATGTCTGAAGAATGAATGAATGAATCATTGAATCAATGAATACTTGAAGGTTGAACAATGTTCATGGAAGCTATCAAGTTCCCATTACAAAATGCTTTATCTTGAAGTTCCCTCTGTTTCCCTGAGCACCTTTCTATACCAAGGGCACATCCACATCCACCATCACAGGTACATGAGCAGAAACATTCCAATACTGCAGGAAAGTGTATGTAAGCTCAGGAGCTGACTGCTGTGAGGGAAACGCCCTTGCTGGATGTACTTGTCATGCTTTGTTCGTATAAATTCTTGCCAGCTCTACTGGGTAGACCTGAATGCATTCCACACGGGCTTCCCTTCTGTTAACCCTAAGCAGGGTTTTCCCTGGACTTTGGCTGTACTTTTGATCCTTTTGAGCAGGAACTTCTGCAGGAGCCCAGCTTTCCCTATAGCACACCCCTCCCCACCCCCACCAGTCAGGAAGGGATCGGATTACAGGCTGCTCACCTGTTGTGCGGCCAGAAGCATAGAGAGAGAGCACAGCTTGAATGGCGACATACATGGCAGGGACATTGAAGGTCTCAAACATGATCTGAAAGGACAATGAAGAATAAAGGATGATTTGGCAGAAATCACAGCACCTCTTGGCTCACAGGATGCTTTGTAACCTTATTAAGGGCAAGGGCTGTGCCTTTTTACCCCACCCCCACCTCCCGTAGGGTCTGGCATAGACTACACACATAGTATGTCCTCAGAAATTTTTGGTGCACTGATGCATGAAAGGGAGAAGGGATCTATTCTGCTTTCTTGTGCTCGTACTTAAGACTTCCTGGCCTCTTACCTGGGTCATCTTCTCCCTGTTGGCCTTGGGATTTAAGGGAGCCTCTGTGAGCAGGGTGGGGTGTTCTTCAGGTGCTACCCGCAGCTCATTGTAGAAGGAGTGGTGCCAGATCTGGTTGAGACAAAAGTCAAATGAGCCAAGGAGTCTCCTATAAATTTCCAATTGGCATAAGCATGCTGGGAGAGCAGGACACAATGTCCACAGCACCGGATGGGTCTGGATAGGAGACTGTCAGTCCTGGGAATTTCTGCTTAACCTTTAGAGTTTTTATATTCGTTTTCAACAGGGCCCTCGGCAGGACTCAGCCCTGGGGCCAATATACTTAGCATGTTGATTATTTCCACAGGAACTTCCCTCCTCTCTACTTGTCTTCTATCTCCCCTGGCTTTTTTTCCTGGGGGCCAGACACACTGCATCTCTCAGTATTCCTTGCTTCCTGGCTTCTGGCTATACTTGGTGGATGGAAGACATCCGCAAGAGGCTGGAGAGTGGGAAGAGGGAGAGAGGTCAGGGTGTTTCTCCGTGAGCCAGGGTCCTATTGGGTGGTGCCTCCTCCAACTCCAGTGACTCTGCCCACTCCTTCAGGTTTAGGATGTAAGAGCTTTCCTCTGTTCCTGGTACTTAGGTGCCTCAACATCCCTTTCTGGTTCCCTCCTCCTGCTCACACCTCTCTATGGGAACCTGACAGATACGCTTGACCTGTCACTGTTGATTACTGACCAGGCTGGTGCTTTAGAGCAGGGTTCCCCATTTCAGGTTGGATGCTTCCACGATATGGGGGGCTAACCTATGCATCATAGGATGCTGGGCATTCCTGACCTCCACCCACTAGGTGCCAGTAGCACCTCTCCAGCTATGACAAGCAAAAATGTTTCCAATCATTGTCAAACATCTCCCAGGAGGCAAAATTGCTTCTGTGGAGAGTCACTGCTTTAGAGGAAGCTATTTCTTCTCACTGTGTCCAATGATCCAAGACAACCAAACAGGACTCTTTATTTCAGAGGCCTTCTGCAGACTGACAGGGACTTAATAGGGCTCTGATTTCCTCAGAGGCGGGGCATAGGGTCATTTACTTCCATTGCACCCATATATTTGTGGACGCTTAGCTTTGTGCTAGGATGGTGCTAACTGTGGTGAGGACAGATATGAAATCAGATACGGTCCCTTGATCTTGCTTTCAAAGTCCAGAGGGGAGGAAAACAGCCAAGAAGATAAAATACAAAGACACACCTGCATTTTGAGTAAAAGAGAAGACAGTTCATTTATCTGGGGGATATGAGTGGGCCCTGTAGGCAAAGGAAGGTCTCCAGAGGCTGAGAGAAGCGCAGTTGAGGCAGAGGAAATGGTATAAGCCAAGGCCCCACCTGTATAAATTTCACAACAGAGATGTGAATGGCAATGACTCTTAATTGAGTGAGGTCAGTATTTCTTCAAATGTGGGCCCCAGACGCTTTGCTGCAAAACCATCTGGGAGGATTGCATTGGGTGCAGGTTCCCAGGCTGGACTCCAGGTCCAGGAATCCGAATCGTGGCTGTTGAAGCCAAATACCTTCACTTCACTTTCATTTCACTTTTTAGAGCTTTTATAAATTACTTTAAAAGTTGAAGATGTTGATAATTTTAAAATTCAGAACTATTTTTTAAAAATTTTTAATTGCTTTATTTATTTCTGAGAGAGAGAGAGATAACGTGACCAGGGAAGGGTCAGAGAGAGGGAGACACAGAATCTGAAGCAGGCTCCAGGCTCTGAGCTAGCTGCCAGCACAGAGCCCGACGTGGGGCTCGAACCCACGAACCATGAGATGATGATCTGAGCGGAAATCAGACGCTCTACCAACTGAGCCACCCAGGCGCCCTAAAATTACAGAACTATTTTTAAGAGAAGTGAAAGTCTCCCACATTTCCATCACCTAAGAATAGTTAACATTTTGGCTTTTTCTTCTTATTAATCTTTCACCTTTAAGCATTTTCAAATTTATTACTATCACTACTTATATATTTCATATACTTATATTTATTTATTGTTATACTATTTTTATGTTTTTACCTTCAATCTTGTTTCCTGACACTTTTCTGTGAGTATAACATATATAATCTCCTTTTTCACAGTAAATATTTCTTTTTTAAATCGAACATTTATTTTTAATGCTTACACAATATTTCATCATGCTATCATATATTTAATCATATTACTATTCATGGTATCTTTGATTTTTGTTTATAAATAATCCTATCATAGCTATCTTGTGCAGATTATATTTTCTTTTTTCTATTTAGAGCGTTTCCAAAGAAAAGAATTTTAGAAGTGGAATTTCTAGGCTATAAGCATGGTGATTGGAAGACTTTAAAACATATATATTTATGAAAGGGGGGAAGGGCAGAAAGAGAGGGGGAGAGAGAGAATCCTAGCAGATGCTGCAGGGCAGAGCCCAATACGGACTCAAACTCACAAACCAAACTTCAGATCATGACCTAAGCCAAAATCAAGATTCAGATGCTTAACCAACTAAGTCATGCTGGCACCCCAGAAAACTTTTTGATTTCTATTTACCAACAAAAAGGCTAAATTACTCTTTCCTCCAAAATAAGAAAGCCCATTTTGCCCCTATCTGCATCCAGGGTTCTCACTCTTAATATAAGAAATAAGTTGATAGGGAAATAGAATACCTTATTCTTTTACTTTGAAAATTTACAATTCTTTCAAATGAGTTTAAGCTTTTTCAGATTTGCAACTTTTTATAATTTTTGTTTGGCGAATTATCTGTTCATGTCATTTTTTTATTTATCTGGTGGAGACGTTGTATCTTTAATGATCAATTTACATTAGCTGTCACTGCCCTGTGAATTTTTTTTGCAACTTATTGTTTGCCTTTTACATTTGGTTATGTTTTTCACATACTAGGAGTTATGATTTTTTAAGAATCACATTTGTCATTTTTTCCCTGTATCACTTCTTTCACCAGAAATTTGATAAATGCTCATGCTTACTATACTGTATTTTTTTTTACCATCTGAACTTTTATATTTAACTTTTATAATCAGTTGATATGTGTTTGGTGAAATGGTATAAAGTAGAGGCAATAAAGACTTCCCATTCCCCCAAATAACTTATCAGTTGTCCTGGAATAATTCACTGACTAATTCTTTTCACCTTTGGTGTTCAAAAATTTCATTTATCATGCATTTCCTCTTTACCTTTGTGCTAGTACCAAACTGTTTTAATTTTTATACTATGTTATATTTTAATATGTGAACATGGCAAGCTTCTCATAGTTTTTCTTACTCATTTTGTTCTCATAAATTTTGCCTTATTTATTTCTCCAAACATAATTTATGATTTCCTTGCAGAATTAAAAATTGTGATTTTTTTTTTTTACTCAAACTCATAGCAACAGAAAGTAGAATGGTAGTTACCAAGAGCTAGGGGGGTGAGGGAGGCAGGGAGATGTTGGTCAAGTGGTACAAAGGCTTATGCAGGATGAATAAATTCTGGAGATATGATGTACAGCATGGTGCCTGTAGGTAGCGATGCTGTCCTGTGCATGTGAAATTTGCTAAGAGGGTATTTCCTGAGTGTTCTCAGTACAAGGAAAAAAGTCACTATGTGAGGTGATAGTAGCTGGAATATGGTGACTCTGACATATATAAATGTATATCAAGTCATCAGCTTGTACACCTTAAATATATACAATTTTTTAAAATTATGAATTATTAGAAAGGCAAGGAGCCTATAAATGAATTTGGGAAGATTTGACAACTTTTCCCTATTCTGTTTTTCTTTGAAGTGCACAATATATTTTTAGGAATTTCTTTATAGAGGTCACACATTGTTACTCCTGTGATAAAATATTTTTATACTAAAATATTTTGTCTATTATGTTTTTGAATTAGATTCTGTTAGATCCATATGAGTAATAGATGCTATTTACTGAGCATGGTGTTCATGCCTTGGGATGGATATTGAGTACCTAATTCAATCTCCAAAGCAACCCTAATGAAGGAAGTGTTTTTATCTACACAAATGGAGAAACTGAGGCTCAGGAGGAAGGACTCGCTCCCAGACCTCCCTGCCACAGACTCCAGGGTCTGTGCTCGTAGCCACTCCATGGTGTGCTGTGAACTGAATCTGGGATTTAGACAAAAGTAGAGCGTATTACAGATTTCACAGCAACATCCTCCTTTCTGGTCGCAGTCTGTTCGAGAAGCACTCTGTGACACTTCAAAAGGCACTCCTTGCAAAAACAAGGATTCTCAGACAGATGTCAGCAGAATGTATCAAAAGAATATTAGAAAGGTTCTATTAGCATTTCCCACTTGTGATTTTGTTGATCACAAACTACCATTTAAAATATTTCCCCTCACCCCTGCAATTTCTTGTGCGTGCGCACGTGTGTGTGTGCGCGCACACACACACACACACACAAGCTTCTAGAAACCCCTAGAGAGTCCTACTTAAAACTTTCATTAGAGAATCATAACAACACAGCTTCAATGCAGCTGCCTGAGGTCATGACAGGAAAAATGAAAGGGAGAGAAACCATTTGCCCCCGTGGAGGCAGCAGCAGCATTAAACAACCTGCTAGAGCGAAAGCTGTTTGAAAGGATGAAGCTGGGCATTAGGTAGGACGGGTCCTCAGATGCTAGATAGGGAGTTAGGAACCTACTGTCAGTTAACGAGGAGCTACTGAAGATTCCTGAGAAGGTGAGTGACATGATCTGATCTGTTTTTAGAAAGACAAGCTTTGCAGCAGTGCAGAGAATTCACTTCGATGGCGAGGCTGGAGACAAAGAAATCAGAAAGCCATTGCCGCCATCCAGTGAGAGCCATTGGCAGACCCATGGGGAGTGGCCATGAGGATGGACAAGAAAGAAGGAAGGATATGACACATTTAGGAAGCACGTGAAAAGACAGAGGGCTGTGGGAGATGAGGGTCATGACGACATATTATTATACTAAAAGGGAGGAGTCCACCAATACCTTCTCCATGTCATCCCAGTTGGTGATGATGCCGTGTTCAATGGGGTACTTGAGAGTTAGGATCCCTCGCTTGCTCTGAGCCTCGTCTCCAACATAGCTGTCTTTCTGGCCCATTCCCACCATTACACCCTGTAATACAAAAGACAAAGAAGAAGCGGATTGGCTGAGGGCTCCACTTAGGGGGATCGAGGCATTGGAGGGTCTCTGAAGAAGGATGCAGATAGGAAAGCTATCTTTCCTCCCTGGAGACAGGACAGAAGGAGACAAGGGTGAGGCAGGTATTGATGAATGTGGAAGTGGCGTGGAGAGAAGGTGGAAGTTTCCTGTGGGCTCCTCTCCTCTCTCCTAAGACAACATCATTTTCCAAGAGAGCAGGGCCTTCCATACACTTCTTCCCTTACCTCACACGCACACGGGGCTAGTACTTGCTCTCCTCGGATACCCTCTGCTTACATGTTTACGTCTCCAAATCTTGGCTCCTGCTCTTCTCTCCACTTGAGGAGACCCTCATCCTCAGCTATCCCTTTTCTACAAAGTCTCTCCTTCTCTGGTCCCTCCACTCATATTTAATCTCTCCCTCATTTGTGCTCCCCCTGGTGAAATATTTGTCTCTATTGTAGCCTGTGATCTCAAGTTAGTTCAAAGAGTGTACATTTCTTAAAGGCCAAGCTCTTATTTACTTGCAGGTATTTTTTATAAGTTTCTTCCAAAGACTTAAGCCAGACATAATACCATCCCTGCATGCCTGGGTTATGTCGGGTTTGGTCTTGGTTATTTCTATTTGAAGGGTCTTACTCTGTTAGTTAATTGGAAGAGGGTCTCCTACCCTCAATACATGCACTCACAAAGCTCACGCATGCATGCGTGCACATACACAGACCTCAGGTGGTCTCCACCATGCAGCACTTACTCCTAGGGGCTCAAAGCCTTGGGTCCAGATGAGCACATACCTGGTGGCGAGGGCGGCCCACAATGGAGGGGAAGACAGCCCGGGGGGCATCGTCTCCGGCGAAGCCAGCCTTGCACAGGCCGGAGCCGTTGTCACACACGAGCGCAGTGGTCTCCTCTTCACACATGGTGAGTGTGGCCAAGTGAACTGGGGGCTGGAGCACCTAGGGGGCGGGGGCAGAAGAGAACTAGTCAGCCACTTGTCAAAAATCATGCTGGAAACAGGCTTCTCGGTTCTGAAGCTCGACTCCATCTCCAAACCAGGGCCCAATTCCACAAACAGCAGACACGGACCTGGACTCCCACTCCCTGGCAGCCCGACTTCTTCCCTCTATCCTGCTGTCCCTGCTGAATTGTGTCCCTGCCGCCCCAAGTCATATGTTGAAGTCTTAATCCCCAGTGTGTCACAGTGGGACCATATTTGGCAGTAGTGTCTTCAGACAGGTAATTAAGGCAAAATGAAGTCATTAGTCTAATATGACTGGTGTTCCATATGACTAATCTAACAGGATGGCTATCTTTATAGGATAAGGACATTAGAAGCGGCTCGCGGAGGAAGGGTGGCCTGAGAGGAGAGAGGATTCTGGACGGGAAGCCCAGTCCCTGCCTCTTCAGATGGAGAAAGCAGTAGTCTGTCAGCCGATGCTCATCGCTGCTTTGGGATGGCAGCAGAGTGGTGAGGGCATTCATTTTCCCCACATCTATTGCAGGTTTTCTTTCTTTCGGGGAGGATAAAAGACAACAGCTGACGACTTGTTGGCATTTAGTGACAAAGGGGAGATGACAGAAGCTCAGGGGACAGTGCACAGACTGACTCCTGGCCTGGGGGTTTCTTGGGGGGGGGGGAGGTGCACTATAGAAGATAGAAAGGCCCTGGGCTCGGGGAGGCCAACTCTCAGCAGTCCAGGGGAAACAGAAGGTGGCTG